CCCCTCCCCACTCACCACTCCCCACTTCCCACTCCCCACTCCCCATTCCCCATTCCCCATTCCCCATTCCCCATTCCCCATTCCCACACAATGAGACCCTCGAGCTGGACGCTGATGGTTCCGCTTGTGTTGAGATCAGTTTCTCCTGAGAATATTTTTATTTCATTCTCTTCGCAATTCACCTGTTGGCAGCTCGTTCTTGCAAATAGGCCGGACTGTGGAACATTTTTTTTTCTTCGTGTTTTTACTTTACCAGACCATTTTACTCCAATCAAGTGACATAATAAAGACAAATTTTTGTTTTAATGATGATAGAAAAATATGGAGTTAATAATAAAAATGAAATGAACATTGAACAAGTGATAAATTTAGTTTTCTAATGTTAAATATAATTGTATTATCTGAAATGCCTTCCGTTTTAGAAAGTTATACATAAAGTTTACTCATATTTAACAATAACTGTCTCTTTATTTTCATTTTTTCTTTACCTCACATTGAAAAAATATAGTATTTAAAGCAACATTCGAATTGAACTGTTATAAATAATTTTTATCGTTACGTTAATAATCAATTTTTTGACTTCTGTAAAAAATATTTTTCTTCAATGTACAGACGAACAGGATGGCCGAGAAGTGGTGGCAACAGAGAGAGGGGAGTCGTCAGTGCCGGGTAGTTTGTTCTTCTAATACAGTGTTTGCCAACTGGAGGAAAATGACGTCAGAGTACCGTTCCTCTCCGTGATGACGCTCCTGGAGAAGCCCTGCGAGCAAAGGGGAAGGGACGGGGGAGGGATCGACAGAATTGGCAGTGGGCCAATGCCTGTGTTTCAGAAAACAATAAGAGCCCATTTATGCCCGTTAATTTTCTTCGATTTGGGAAGAAATGTTTATTTTTGAAGATAACGTATCAATGGCGAAGTGTTTCGTGTCTTCGAAAGAACTGCAGTGTGTTAAAAATTTCAACCTAAAAAACCCATTACGCAGCTTTGCCACCGAGAGAAACCCGCGAGATGAAAATAATTTCTAAGAATTTACAGATAGCCTGCAATCATAGATGAGTAAACGGTTTTGCAGATATAAGATTGTGGAAAAGGTGCTCGGATTTACAACATTACGCGGATTTACATCATTCTCAAACAATGCTGTATATAAAATAATTAAACCTGGAGTCCAAATTCTCCCACGTGAGCTCTCCCACGTATTTAATTTCTATTTATTTGTTAACTTTAATTATTTCTTTGGGACGTACTAAAACTGTTGTATTACATAACATTGTATAAAATATTACTATACTTCTAGAATATTAAAACTATCTTCTTCAAAAATGTTATATATTAGAATAATAGAAGTGGAATTTCAGGTACTGGTTAAGATAAACGGAGTCGGATATTGCTTTGACTTATTTAAAAACCTATGTTCTATTTTTTCATATTTTTATTGCATCATAAACCTTTTGATATTAATTACGATTTGAAAACGTTAATATCGAGCGAATGTCCCCCCCCCTTCCATACCATCATTGGAACACTGTTTGCCCGTCGCCGCGTCGGGCACTTCCCTTGCTCGGTGGCTCGACTCGAAGCAGAAGAGCAGATTTTTGTGACGTCTAAGCAATGAGTTGGCAAGACTGTTCTAATATATCACTATATAAACTCCAAATTCTATGAATCTCCATTTAATTTTGTTCCTTCTCATCCAGTTGTCGTATACTTCGCATAGCAACAGTCCTAGTTTTTTTTAATAATGAAGTTGTTTCTTACCTTCATATATAACATTTTTTTTACTCAGATTCACTTACACGTTTTACTTAGGCCGCCATTGTCACACAATTTTTGTGAATCAATTCAGAGTGGAAGAACTACTTCGAATTCCGACGGTGACGACGTGTTCGAATATTTTTGCCACCACTTCTCAGACCACTATTCAGATCTCTTATGTCATTGGAGGAAACCCTCGCATCATTTAACTGATCGCGAAAGATGTTTTTCACTTTTTTGCTTTTTAATTCATTCGTTATAGTTATACAAAATTCCTTTATTATTAGTAATATTAGTAAATATTCGAATACCCCAAGCGTATAATATCAAAGGTGATGCCACCAGGCCTGTGAAAATAGCAGATACAATGATCTACAAATTTTCTAAGTACGAGTGATATTTACTAAGCGTATTCCAGGCGTGGATATCCTACATTTTCAAAAATATGTGCATATCAAATCTTTACTTGATATCAAAAATATTGACTTCAAAAATATTATAATTATTTTTTAATTAATATTTATCAATATCAATGTATAGTATACGATGGTGCCCTTCGAAGAGTTGAAACTAACTTCGTAAAATACAAGCAAAAAGCATGATAATTATTTTCTGTTTGGTTGAGACAGGAGTAAATTATTAACCATATTTGGTGAGTATTTCACAAGTGGATTAGTCTATTAATCTTGCCCTAAAATCGTTGTAGTATGTTGGTTTGAATCAATCACAGTAGATCAGATTATCAGAACTTATATAAGAGTATAATAGGACTCAATGACACATTAAAAAATTATTAATAATTGTAGTAATAACTAATAATATTTTTGATAATGATTTAATAGTTACATTTTTCAAACTAGAAAAGTAATTAATTAAAGTAAAAGGAATATGCCAAACTCTTGTATTTTAAAAAACGTACCAACAAAAACAACAAGGAATGAAGACCTCAATATGAAATTACATCCACAATAATATATGCTAAACAAACAAAACTAAAATTGATATGACATTGTTCACAACTTACTAATAAATTTTACAGTGAGCTTTATATCCAACCTCCAACTCCTCATGGAGTTGCTGCAGCACATGGGTCCATTTAGTATTACTAGCGCAACTTTTCTTGAACGATGGATTGAAGAAATGCGGGTAGAGTGGGGGTATTAGTTACCAAATCGGCCACTAGATTTTATGAAGCAATGCCAATCTCTGGAGAATCAGTCATGCCTTCGCAACTTTCTCAATAATTTGCGTTCTAATTTTCTCAGGAGTTCGAGGTATTTCCTGTGATGAATCTTCACCTGCTTT